CTAGTCAGTCTTCGTCTGAAAACTCTGTACGTTTCCAGTCAAAGAGGGACAGCTGTAGACATGTGATTTTTGACCCTCCCCAAGATTTTTTATATATTAGCGTAAAATATTTAATTTAGGCATAATATAGATATTTCAAGTAATTTTGACCCTTTTACTTTAATTTTATTACAAGAAAACAAAAAATCACAAAAATAGGTTCATTAATATTTTGTAGTCATTTTTAATCTAAACAAATCTTTAAAAAATATATGCAAAAATAGTGTCATATTTTTATTTTAATATGATATTTGAAAATACCAAAAATAGATTTGTTTTAATGGTTAGTTTTATTTTAATAATTATTTGAATAGTAGGAATAATTAACAAATGGGACCGTATTTTTAATCTCGTCCGCAGCGAAAGAATAGAGCTTGGGCTCGAGCAACCCATATTTAGGCCTAATTTTGGACCTAGCCCACAATTGTCAAGCCCATAAGTCTTAGGCCCATACCCCTTAACCTAAAACCCTACCAAAAAACCTAGACTATAAAATAAAAGGAAAAGCAAAAAAGCAAGGGCAGGGCTGGAACGAATGAACGAGAGCTGTGCATGGAGGGAACAAAATAACGAAAGGAACGAAAAAGCAGCAGCTAAAAAAGGTTGCGCACAAACGAGCAACCCCCACCCCCTTCACGTTTTCTTCTCCAACGACCCCTTCCCCGTTCTTCTTCTTCAACCAACAGCCCCCAAAACCGGGAACAACCCAGCTCGCCGGAGAAAACACCAACGACCTCGTCTCTGCCTGAAACTCGCCGAAAAAAAGAGCTCCACCTGCTCATCGGAGTAACGAGTTCCGAACGCGACAAGTAGAACCAAGCGACCTCATACCAGCAGCTTCCGACGAGCCCACCCTAGCGAAACGACCCAACAACTAGCTCCCCACCACCCATCTCGTCGACCTTGACCCACCAAACCTTCTGCCTGCGACGCCATATCCGGCGAGCTTCACCTTCGCACGCACACAGTCACACACATGAACGGAGTGAGGTAACGATCGTAAGGCAGCTGAAGTTTGGAGTCGTTTGTGAGTTCGAGTCGTGTGGGAGTTGCCGTACATTGGTTCCGATCTATGGTTATCGTTGTCCATTTTTTTCGTCGAGCTCGAGCTACTGAAACTTGACACTACTGTAAACTCAGGCGTTCCGGTCTTACGTCGAGGTGATGCTAGTTTCGTTCTAGTCGTAGTTCCGTCGAGGTCGTCAAAAAATGTTCCGGTTAGTTGGTTTCTTTCTCTGCAATTTGGCTTTCATTTTTTCATGGATTCAGAAGCTGGATTTAGCTTCATTTTGATTGTTGTTGTTCATCAAGATAAATGTTTCTCTGTTGAAAATTTTGATCCTTATAACTTTGACTCATTGAAAATTACGTATTTGTCCCTATGAAGTTTCATGTCATTCCAACAAACTGATAATAGAGGTATATAATGCGCTTTCTATAAAAATGATTCAGTTTAAATTAGTGGGTTCTTTTTCTGCTGGATTATCTTTTTGTTATTCAAATATCCTTAAGTTGCATGCTTTGATCAAATTATGGTTAATGGACAGGTCGATTTTATATTGTAATTTTAAACAACAGATTCCTAGGTTTTTCTTTTAATCGATGGTGCAATGGTTGTTGATACATAGTTGACGTTGACCAATCATGCTCAATAACAATGTTATATGATGGCTACTCGTAAAACTGGTCCTTACAACAAATTTCAGAGTAGATCGGAAAATAATTAAATGCGCTAGTTGCTTTAGGCGTTAATTAAATAATTATCGCGGCTACGGGTACAGTTCCCGTGACGTAGTTGTGATTTGTAATTACTAAATTCGGGTGTGCATTTCATGTAACCCGATCCAAATCTCAACGATGTTAAAATATGTCAAGACCACAGGCGCATTTATGTGACGTGGTTCGAGACGTGTTTTAGTAACGTTGCAATTTTCTCTAAAAAATGAAATAAACTGGTTAAAAGTTAAAATGCATGTAGGTTCATAATTGTTTAAAATCAGATAATTATGCCAAATATAGCAGTTGAGCAACCGTGCTAGAACCACAGAACTCGGGAATGCCTAACACCTTCTCCCGGGTTAACAGAATTCCTTACCCGGATTTCTGATTCGCGGACTGTTAAGCAGAGTCAACCCTTTCCTCGACTCGGGATTTGAACCGGTGACTTGGGACACCATAAATATCCCAAGTGGTGACTCTGAATCTTTTAAAAATAAATCCCGTTTCGATTGTCATTTAATTAGAAAAACTCCCTTTTATACATCCTTTTCCGGGGGTGTAGGTGAAAAAAGAAGGTGTGACAAGCCGCAGATGCGAAATTGGGTGTGAAGAGCTAAAGGCGCGGGTACGGAAGTTAGGTCGCACCTACGAGATCGTAGGTGCGGTAGTTTATGCGCAGATGCGGTTTTCAGGATTTAGTGGAAACCGCTAAAGCGGTCATCTGGCCGTAGAAGCGGTTCGCAGGTGCGAAAAATGGGCCACATGTGCGAAATCCCTGGGCCAGAAAGTATATAAGGTTTCCTTTGCGAATTTTTGGTTATTTCATCATTTTTCTCATACGGGTTTGAGCTTGAGGGAGCAAATTGAAGAGTGATTTCAAGAGGATTTCGTGGAGGTAAGGTTTTTGGACCCTAAACTTGTTTCTATGAAGCTTTTTGACTAATTAATCTTGACTCTATGGAAATTAGTAGCAAAAATTGGGGGTTTAGGGCTTGAATATTGGAGACCTTAATCTAGGGATTTGCGGGGTAACTTGTGGTTGGATTTTGGTATTTTTGGTATGTATGGACTCGTGGGAGGATACGGATTTTATTGATGTAATTTTTATTGGATTCCGAGACGTGGGTTCGGGGTCGGATTTGGTCAATTTCGGGATTTGTGTAGTAATTTGATTATTTTCATATGGGCTTCATTCCCTTAGCATATATTGATGTTGTGATGTTGTTTTTGGATAGATTTGACGTGAGTTGAGGCCGAGTTGAGGGGTAAAGGCATCACAGAGTAGTATTTTTACTAGTTTGAGGTAAGTAACCATTGTAAATCTAGACTTGAGGGTATGAAACCCCGGTATGTTGTATTGTTTTGATAAATGAGGTGACACACATGCTAGGTGACGAGCGTGTGGGCGTGCACCGGTAGGGATTGTGACTTGGTCCATCCCGTAGCGACTATTAAGCTGCGTACTTGATTTGAAATCTTATGATATTCCGTATTTTAGAGATTGATACTATATTTTGGGTTGTACGCCATATATGGAGCCTTGTGCCGACCTGTTTAGGACCTTAGGAGTATCTTTACTACTTTCCTCACTCTATTTATTTTGGAAGCATATCCTCAGTCATGTTTTACTTGTTTATTGTTTAAATTTGGTTTCATCACTCTATTTTTTAATATATGAAAACAGTTTGGGCTGAGTTCCCTGATTTTTACTGATATGCCCGAGTGGCCATGAGGTTAATGACCGAGAGAGGTTTAGGACCTAATGGTGAGGATGATATATCTATTATGGATAAGGCTGCACGCCGCAGTGATATCATATATATATGGACCGGGCTGCACACTGCAGCGATATACATATTGATCGGGCTGCACACCGAAGCGATATATATTGGATCGGGCTGCACGCCGCATCAATTATTATCATTAATATGACTATGAGATATTTATTGAGCCGGAGTGCTGAGTGTGAGTACTGTGTGACGAGAGCTGAGTCACGAGTGACTGAGAGGCTTGCCCGAGAGGCTATACTTATGAGTGATACCTTGCCCGAGGGGCTTGTCTACGACATTTTAATATTTTCACTCTTCTTTTATACTGAGCCTGTTTTGAAGAATGTTGAATAAATGTTTTCAATGGATTTTGAACTAAAACTGGAGTTTTATGAGATAACTGGCTATTAAATTGCAGAATTTGACTTGATATTTTTGTTGAGACTTGTTATGTTATTTTAAATGCTCGTCACTACACTTAGACTCTATTTACTTATTGAATTGGTGTACTCACGTTACTCTCTGTACCTTGTGTGTGGATCCAGGTGCCCGAGCATTAGAGTGAGAGCTTCCAGCACTCTCAGAGCTTTACCGGAGACTGCAAGATAGCTACACGGCATTCGTATCCCTGCTTTCCTCCTTCCTATCTTAGTATTCTGTTATTTCAGACTTATGATGTATTATTCAGTCAGTTTTGAGTTGTATTTAGAGGCTCTTGACTAGTGACACCGGATTTGTTGGGCTGTGTTAATATTTTGTATGGGTTTTCCGTATATTCTCTTTTTAGCCATCTATTTCATATGACGAATTTGAGACTTATTCGATACTAGAAAATGATTTTTTTAAAAGATTTCATTGTGGTAAATGTTTGGTTGGCTTTCCTAGTACTGTGATAGGCGCCATCACGACTGGGGTATTTGGGGTCGTGACAAGTTGGTATCAGAGCCTAGGTTACATAGGTCTCGCAAGCCATGAGTCGGTTTAGTAGAGTCTCGCGGATCGGTATGGAGATGTCTGTACTTATCCTCGGGAGGATGCAGAACCTTTAGGAAAAACTTCACATTCTTGAAATTCCTGTCGTGCTAATCTGTTGATTCTAGTACTAAACTTTTGTTATTTTATTCTCTCACAGATGGTGAGGACATGTGCTACCGGTCAGGATGGACGACCACCAGTAACCACCAGTTGGGGCCACTAGAGGCCGAGGACGCGGCCGAGGCTGTGGTATGGGTATGGGTATAGCCCGCACAACAGCTAGGGCAGCACCTGCAGATCTACTAGCCGCCCCAGTTCAGGATTAGGTCCAAGTTGCAGACGCTCCAGCAGCACCAGCTCAGGCACCGGTTGTGCCTATTGTAATTCCAGGCCTTTAGAAGGCTCTAGCTCAGATCCTATCACTGTGCACTGGTTTGGCTCAGGCAGTCTCAGTTACTACGGCCGCAACTACTTCTCAGGCTGGGGGAGGTACTCAGACTCCCGTTGCTCCCACACCTGAGCAGTTTGTGCAGGGACTTCAGACACCGGGGGCACCTCCAGCCCAGCCGGTTGCACCAACTCAGGAGTATGTAGTACTAGTTATGCCTGACGACGAGCAGCATCGAATGGAGAGGTTTGGTAGACTTTAGCCTCTGAGTTTTAGTGGTACAATGGGCGAGGATGCCCAGGGTTTCTTGGACAAGTGTAAAAGGATTCTTCGTACATTGGGTATTCTAGAGGCCAGTTGGGTCGTATTTACTACCTTTTAGTTTTCTATAGCTGCCTTTACTTGGTGGAAGACTTATGAGAGGCATAGGCCTGTTGATGCAGCGCCCTTTACCTGGCAGCAGTTCTCCATTCTCTTCCTGGAGATGTATGTGCCATAGTCCCGTAGGGAGGAGCTGCGCAGGCAGTTCGAGTAGTTGCGATAGGGAGATATGACTGTGATGCAGTATGAGATGAGGTTCTTAGAGTTAACTCGTCATGTCATTTGGTTGGTTCCTACAGATAGAGAGAGAGGATTCAGAGGTTCATTGATGTTCTCACATATCAGCTTTGGATTCTCATTACCAGGGAGAGGGTGTCAGGTGCTACCTCTAAGGAGGTGGTTGAAATTGCCTACGAGATTGAGTCAGTTCGTCGCCAGGAGTGAGATGAGAGGGAGGCCAAGAGGCATCGGGGATCTGGCAGTTTTGGTGGTGCTCCTTCGAGGGGTCAGTTTCAGCATGGAAGAGGCCATCCATTCAGACATGCTCAATCAGCTCGACCAGTTCCTCGTGGGGTATCAGCGGGTTATGGTTCTTACATCTCGCATTAGGGTCATCTATCACTCACTGCCTTTCCAGCCCAGAGTTTGTCTTGTGCTCCATCAGTTCAGGGCTCTTCTATGCCAGTGCATCTGCTAGTCATTCCGATGCCAGGGGTTCCCTTCAGTCCCCGTTCCCTGCACCTTAGGGAGTTGTTACGAGTGTGGAGAGTTTGGACATATGAGAAGGCAATGTACATCTTCTTGAGGGTCCGTCTCAGCATAGGAGACAACCCTTGACTTCAGCTCCAGTTACTTCACCACCTGCTCAGGCAGCTAGAGGTGGGGGTTAGTCAGCTAGGGGCCGCCCTAGAGGGGGAGGTCGATCAGGTGGTGGTCAAGCCTGTTAATATGCATTCCCAGCCAGACCAGATGTTATTGCTTCAAATGATGGGATTACAGGTATTATCTCAGTTTGCTGTAGAGATGCCTCTGTATTATTTGATCCTGCTTCCACTTTTTCATATGTATCATCATACTTTGCTAATTACTTGGATACGCCCCATGAGTCTTCTATTTTATCTGTTCGTGTATATAATCTGGTAGGCGATACTATAGTTGTTGACCATGTGTACCGGTCATGTGTGATGGCTATTGAGGGTTTGGAGACTCGAGTGGACCTATAATTGCTTTGTATGGTGGACTTGATGTTATATTAGGCATGGATTTGTTATCCCCATATCGTGCTATATTGGACTATCATGCTAAGAAAGTGACGTTGGCTATACTGGGTGTGCCACAGATTGAGTGGCGAGGTTCGACTGATTTTGTTCCCAGTAAGGTGATATCATTTTTGAAGGCCCAGTAGATTGTTGGGAAAGGTTGTCTTTCGTACTTAATGTTTGTGAGGGATGTTAGTGCAGAGACTCCCATCATTGATTTTGTTCCTGTTGTGAGGGATTTTCCTGATGTGTTTCCTGCAGACCTACCGGGCATGCCACCGAACAGGGATATTAATTTTGGTATTGACCTAGTGCCGGGAACTTAGCCTATCTCTATTCCACCATATCGTGTGGCACCAACGAAGTTGAAGGAGCAACTTCAAGAACTCCTTGATAAGTGGTTTATTCAGCCTAGTGTTTCGCCGTGTGGTGCTCCTGTTCTATTTGTGAAGAAAAAGGATAACACGATGAGGATGTGCATTGACTACAGGCAGTTGAACAAGGTTACAATTAAGGACAAGTATCCTCTGCCTCACATTGATGATTTGTTCGACCAGCTTCAGGGAGCGAGGGTGTTCTCCAAGATTGATCTCCGTTCAGGGTATCACTAGCTAAAGATCAGGGACTCGTATATTCTTAAGATAACTTTCAGGACCCGATATGGTCACTATGAGTCCCTTGTAATGTTTTTTGGGCTAACCAATGCCCCAAAAGCGTTCATGCATTTGATGAACAGCGTGTTCCGACCGTATCTCGACTCGTTTGTCATAATTTTCATTGATGATATTCTGGTGTATTCTCATAGTCAGGAGGAGCACGCAGAGGATTTGAGAGTGGTATTGTAGTGGTTGAGGGAGGAGAAGCTTAATGAAAAGTTTTACAAGTGTGAGTTCTTGATCAGTTCAGTGGCTTTCTTGGGAAACGTGGTGTCTAGTGAGGGTATTCAGGTTGATCCGAAGAAGATAGAGGCGGTTCAGAGTTGGCCTAGGCCATCTGCATCCACAGAGATTCACAGTTTTCTTGGTTTGGTGGGTTATTACCGTCGGTTCGTTCAGGGATTTTCATCTATTGCATCATCCTTGACCAAGTTGACTCGGAAGGGGGCTCCATTCCAGTGGTTGGATAAGTGTGAGTCGAGCTTTTAGAAGCTCAAGACTACCTTGACCACAACTCCAGTGATAGTGTTACCATCAGCTTTAGGTTCATACACAGTATATTGTGATTCTTCGAGAGTAGGTATTGGGTGTGTATTGATGCAAGATGGTAGAGTTATTGCTTATGCTTCTCGTTAGTTGAAGCCCCACGAGAAGAACTAACATGTTCATGATTTAGAGTTGGCCGCTATTGCTCACGCGTTGAAGATTTGGAGGCATTATTCGTATGGCGTGTCTTGTGAGTTGTTTACTGATCATCGTAGCCTCCAACTCTTGTTCAAACAGAAGGATCTCAATTTGAGGCAGCGGAGATGGTTGGAAATGCTAAAGGACTATGATATTACTATCTTGTAGCATTCGGGGAAGGCCAATGTAGTGGCCGATACCTTGAGTAGAAAGGTGGTGATTATGGGCAGTTTGGCATATATTCCAATTGGAGAGAGACCTCTTACAGTCGATGCTCAGGCCTTGGCCAATCGGTTCGTGAGGCTAGATATTTCGGAGCCTAGTCAGGTATTGGCTTGTGTGATTTCTCGGTCTTCTTTATTTAATCGCATCAGAAAGCGCCAGTATGATGATCCTCATTTGCTTGTCCTTAAGGACAGAGTTCAACACGATGATGCCAGGTATGTGACTATTGGTGATGATGGGGTATTGAGAATGTAGGGCCGATATGTGTGCCCAATGTAGATGGGCTTCAGGAGTTGATCTTGGAGAAGGCCCATAGCTTGTGGTATTCCATTCATCCGAGTGCCACGAAGATGTATCAAGATCTGAGACAACATTATTGGTGGAGGAAAATAAAGAAGGATATTATAGGATTTGTAGCTCGGTGTCTCAATTGTCAGTAGGTGAAATATGAGCATCAGGGATCGGGTGGCTTGCTTCAACAGATGGTTATTCTAGAGTGGAAGTGAGAGCGGATCACCATGGACTTTGTAGTTTGGCTCCTACGAACTTTGAAGAAGTTCGATGCGATTTAGGTGATTGTGGATCGGCTGACCAAGTCCGCGCACTTCATTCCTATTTGTACTACCTATTCTTCAGAGCTGTTGGCAGAGATCTATATCCGAGAGATTGTTCGGTTGCATGGTGTCCCATTTCCATCATTTCAGATAGAGGTACTTAGTTTACTTCATAGTTTTGGAGGGCCGTGCAGCGAGAGTTGGGTACTCAGGTTGAGTTGAGCACAACTTTTCACTCTCAGATGGACAAGCAGTCCGAGAGCACTATTCGGATATTGGAGGACATGTTGCACGCTTGTGTGATTGACTTCGGTGGTTAATGGGATCAATTTCTACTGCTCGCGGAGTTTGCATATAACAACAGTTATCAGTCGAGTATTCAGATGGCTCCATACAAGGCTTTATATGGGAGGTGGTGTAGGTCTCCAGTTGTTTGGTTTGATCCTAGAGAGGCTAGGCTTTTGGGTACAGACATGGTGCAGGATGCTTTAGACAAGGTGAAGGTGATTCAGGAGAGGCTTCGTACAACGCATTCGAGGCAAAAGAGTTATGCTGACATGAAGGTTCGTGATGTGTATTATATGGTTGGGGAGAAGGTTCTACTGAAGGTTTCACCCATGAAGGGAGTTATGAGGTTTGGAAAGAAGGGGAAATTGAGTCCTCGGTTCATTGAGCCTTTTAAGGTGCTT